GTGTATAGCAAAAGCAAATGTTAGTCGTGAGCTAAAAGGCAACTGCCAAGTGTTGAAGCGTTCCGCGCTTTTTGTTTGCGCCGCAATGAAATATTTTACACACACATGCGTACATATACATATGTACAGTTATTTGCACGAATGTAAGCAAATGCAAACTCGCTGTGTTCGCATAGCGCGCACAATTTTCCAAAACGATTTCAAAAGTATTTCCACAAGAGAACGACAAGTATTTATTTAATGAGTGCCGAGGAGGAGAAGTGCAAAGTGCAGCGGAAACGGAAATGGAAGATGCAGCTAAAATATAAAGCATAACAACGAGCATTTCAATATGTAGATGTGTGTTTGTTGCAAGCACAAAGCACAGTTAGTAGTATGTACATGTGATTGTATGTATATATATTTACATTGCAGCCTTATAGTAGTACAACAGGTGGCCCAATTGTGTCAGAGGCGCACACATTTAAGCAAATCGAAAATGTTATATATAATACAAACACATATGCACTTTCACACACACACACACACACACACACAGTAACAATAGCATTAAAATGTAGTTGGCACACCGTTATAATGCACGCAATGTCCTTGTGATAGCAAACCAGTTGTTGCTGCTGCCACAAAGCTGTTGCTGCAACTGTTGATGCTGTTGTTGCTGCCTGCCAACCAGCCTGCCTGCTGTCGTTGGCATTTTCCGCCGCATGTCAACATTTTCCTACACGTTCTCACTTTTTTGCCATTACTTTACCACGGCTTCCTACACAATGTTTTGCCTTTTCCACGATTATAAACACTGGCATCCGTAAAACATATGCAACTTGGGTATAGTGTGCTACTACATACAGGTACATGGGTACAGGGTGCTCGATCTGTTAGGTCGATATGGAAACATAGAATAACTTCAGAAACTAAAAACAAGAGTAAACGTTAACTTCGGTTGTACCGAAGCTATAATAACCTTCACAAATAATTTTTTTTTTCCATACAAGCACTTGGTTTTGATTGGTCAGTTTATATGACAGCTATATGCTATAGTGATCCGATCTGATATATTTGTTCGCAGATTGCAGCGTTGCCTTGGACAGTATTCCATGCCAAATTTCGTGAAGATATCTCGTCAACGAAAAAAGTTTTCCATACAAGGATATGATTTTGATCGTTCAGTTTGTATGGCAGTTATATGCCCCATTTTGGCGGTTCCGAAACATAAAAAATTCCCTGTTTAATACGGTATAGGATCAAAGCATTCGGGTAAGTCAGTTCAGAACGTAAAACCTTCGACGCGCTTTTATCATAACTGCCATTTTTATCTCGGGCGACAATAGTACTCAGACTCTATCGCATAAATTCACTTGAAATTCTTAGTGTAGTTTCTTAGTAACCTGTGCTAGTAAAAAAATACGACGATTTTTAATTATATTAATTAGATCAATAACGATTGTTAGGCGATTGTTGAATTAGGCCTCTTTTAAGAGCTCTAAACAGACATATATATAAATACCATCCCATAATGACACATACGATGAGCGGACAGCCCTCGTTATTGTTTTTCATAAATTTTTCCATATTGTTTGAAAAAATATGGTCAATAATGATTTTCGCGAAAATCCCGGCTGCATTAATTACCTTCGCTTCTACTGCTGCCCGAAAGGGTCAAATGTCCGCGGCCTTCATCAAAATGTACACCGACATAAAAGTCGGCACAGCCTGTATTTACTAACTATTTATACTACCCGTTTCCTTTGTACAAGTATATTTAACTTTTTTGCAATTTGAATGGCGCCGCTTTGCTATTAAAAATTGCAGGCGAATATGCAAATAATGGTGGAGCTGGTGCATGCTATGCGTTCACATTTGATCACATGCTCGGGCATATGTGCTTAAATGGGTATGCGTGTAAACAGCAGTGGGAGCGTTATAGCATCACGTATTTCATAAACAAACAAATAATAAACGCAAGCAAAGACACGACCAGTTACTGCAAATCTGATAGATAAACCAAACAAGGGATGTTTATAAGTCGGCTTTTATATGGACACTGGCGAAGACATGGCTTATCTCAGTACCTGGAACTTGATGTGGAGTATTTTGAGGACATGGCTTAGAAGGAAAACCTTAAAATAGCATGTCTTTTCGAGCGAAGTTTAGTAAAAGCTATTCAGATGAGAATTACTGGTGTAGTAACTGGTTAGGGTTTCACATATAAATACACTAAGTAATATGCTAAAATAATTACAAGCGTAATTAAAAAGAAAGCAATTATGATGTAATATACCGATTGTATACCGAAAGTAAAATTGATAAAATAAGCAGAGACCTAAATATTTTAATATTAGAAAAAGGTTTGCGATTATCATACTCAGAGTGTGATATGATTAGTTTGTGATTACTGTGTGCAATACATCTTCAAGAACTACTATCATTACCTGCAATCTACTGAAAATATTTTAAGGCAATCTGATTTTTCTCAATACCTTCCATTTGATCCGTAATATTGAATTTATAATATAATTTTTTTTTTTAGATTTTCAAACAGGTGGCAACCCTATTAAAAACATGAGCTTCAGAAATATTTTGCAAAATTAAATATTTTGAAGCTTATATTGTAATATTTCATTTATTTTGTTAGTTAAGTGGAATAAATAATTTCAAACAGGAATATGAACGATTATGAGTATTTTTAAACCGCCTTTGTTCGATAACTGTATTGTTTTTATTTATTTATCCTAAATTTTTTTATTTAAAGAGTTTAAATGAGTGGCAAGCGTCATAAGAATCGTTTCAACTGCTTTGACTCTATGCAACTCAAAACTCGTATGACTAATACGGCATTAACAAGACGTTTATATATGTATATATATATATATCTATATATAAATTTAATGAATTAGATTGTCCAGCATATTTTCTCAGTTTGTATAGCTTTTTCTTGAATGAATTTTTGAAGAAGTAACTTTTAAACCCGAATTTGCGTCAAATAAAAATAATTTAATTAAATTAAGAAATTTAGAAAGAAAAGATGTTTTAAATGCTTACAAAACGGTTGTTCGAAACATCTTAGAATGATCGAAATATATATGTAAGTAGTTATATAAAATCAGTATGAAGGGACGATACCATAAATGTCTGTAATTTGTCATTCTGTCCAGATGAGTTTGCTTAAAATTGTAACATTCAAAATTACAAAAAGGGTCAAAAGGATTGGTGGCTGAACATTGACATTAAAAATTTTGTTTTACAAACTTAAGTTTTATGCTGCTTTTAAATTGCACTCCAAGACCTCGCTTTAAACCCCACAGTATTTGGCTGGTTCTGATAAATGCAAAGGAAGCGAAATTTAATTTACAGCTTCTTAAAAACTAATATACAACATAGCTTTAAATAAAGTAACTGCAATAAACATAATCAGAAACCTACTCGACCCCTAATAAACTTTCCACTTACCACAACTTGGCTTCAATAGCTCATTCTCTTAAGAAAAGTCGCACGGCTTCCTTAAAATGAGTGAAAATATTTCATTTAATAGTCGAAGCGTGCAGAGACATGTGCAGTTCACACATTTGACTTTCTTCTTGAAAAGTGTGCTAGTAGTTTCTATAAAATTAAATTAAATGGCGGAGTCATGACACGGTTGTGCGCTATTTTTAAGTGAAGGAAAAGCTAAGTGAACATGTGAACTAAGTAAGTGAGCAGTAAATGGACAAGTAAGTAAGTGAAGAAGCGTGTGTCGAAGTGAAAAATATTTATTTATATTTAAGATAGTTTATATGTGAACATATATACGAGTATATTATATGTTTGCGAGCACAAGTGAGCGGTAGAGACATTCTACTGCAAGGCTCTTCCTTCTTAATAAGCGCATCAGCCACTGCTTACACTCTTATTAGTACATACATATATCGTATATGCGATATTTTATGTGGTTTTTATTGCTTTTGTTGTTATTAGATGCTTACATCAGCACAACATGCAACCTGCAACACAAACTGTGATTTAATGACACTAAAGGTAAACGGATTTTAGCTTTAGGCGCATCTTAGCTGTTGTTGTTTTTATTATTTTTACCGTTACTAACAAGTATTGGCTGTCTTAGCTGCTGGTTTACATTTAGCTATGCGGCGCTGAGGTTGATGAAGCAAACGTGTTACTTAGTAAGGAAAATAAGGCTATTGTTCGCCTAATACTATAATATACGCTGCTTGCACTGGCTGTGTGTATGTATGGGTGAATACAAGAATTATACATATGCGTGTATGTATGCTATAACTTATTTCTACTATATGCCAGCACGCACAGGGTATCTATTACATTTTAAAGTTTACAATGAATCCAGCAAACACACACACCTTCATTAAAGCAATATGGGAATTACCGTTAGAACACTCACTCATACAAACAGTTATCAAATCACATATAAGCATATTTATTTTTCCAGAGCGTACATCGGCAAATGCCCGCCAAGTGGCATCCACACCTCATTTAAACGCTTGACCGCTTGCTTCTATGACCTGCCACCGTCGGCGATATATTTAGCGGGGCGACGTTTAGATGCGCAATTTATTCTTGGCTCTGGTTTATAATTACTGCAGTTAGTCTATTGCTTGTACTTAGTTACGCGACGCTGGATTGCGATTTAATAGGGCAGGGAAGTGTTTTATTAATACCTTATAAACTTATTTTAAACGGAAAGAAAATAAGTTCATTGCACCGGATATAGGTAAAGGGACTTAAGAGTCTTTAGTGTATCTTTGATATTTGTACTATTATCATATAATAAAGTAGGCTTCCAGTATTAGTAAAACTGTATATTTAAAAATTGTTAAAGGATATGGTATAGCAGAACCATTCAGAATAAATAATAAAAATAAAATGAAAATGAAAATGAAAATGACCAGCTCTCATTGAAATATTTTAAGAAAAAATTATCTAATATATTAAATTCTCGTTATTATACATATCTATTTCTAATACTTAATTATTTTTTAACTTCTTTTCAGCTATTTTCCGAATCAGTTTGCCTACTTTCGTTTGTCAGTGAAGGCAGTTATTCAATGAAGTAAGTGAAAATAAGTAAATATACTAACAGATTATATGAATTTGAAAAATTAAGTAACTTACTTTATTGTGGCGAACTTTAAATTATTACAGACGCATATAGTTATACCCTAAACATGTTGTATTAAGTTTGCCACGAAGTTTGTAATACTTAAAAGGACGTAATTCTGCATATACGTGCACTAGTCCTTCAGTATTTGGGATATCGATGTGAAATTTAGCACACGTCTTTTTCTTTCCAAGAAGCTGTGTATTTGTCGGAACCGCCGATATCGGACCACTATAGCATATATCTGCCATACAAACTGACTGATCAAAATTAAGGCCTTGTATGGAACCTTTATTTATCTGACGGGATATCTACACGAAATTTAACACAGATTATTGCCCAAGGCAACAGTAAAATCACCGAAAAAATTATTCATATCGGATCACTGTAGCATATAGCTGCCATACAAATTGACTGATCAAAATCAAGGTCTTGTCTTATGTTGAACTTTGTGCCTGAAAAATTGTTGGGGGGACTCTTTGTTCCTTCCTTTAATATGAAGAAAACCTTAGCCGTAAGTCATGGTATTTTGGTAGAAGTTTATGGTGAACATGTTCCAGCTGACCCAACATGTCAAAAGTGGTTTGCACGATACATAAATGGTGTTTTTGGCTTGGAAGGCATAGTAGAATGCCCTGGACGGCTAAAAAAGTTTAAGATGAGGAACTAAAAATATTACTCAGGGAAGATTATCGCTAATCTTTGGTTGTTACTCAAGCAGCCATTTCCAAATGTTTCAAAACTGCCGGATACATTCAGAGGCAATAAAATTGGGTGAACGGAATCCAGAAGATGTTGAAAGACGATTTTCATGACAGAAACGCTGCTTGTACGCTACAAAAAAAAAATAGTTCTTGCAGCGGGTTGTGAACCCTAAACGCAAAAAATCCTATGTGAGACCTAGCCGGCCTGCCAAGTCAACGGCAAAGCCGAATTTCAATGGCGCTATGGTAATGCTCTGTATTTGGTAGGTTCACAAGGGCGGATTATATTATGAGCTTTTAAAATCGGGTAAAACTATTCATCGCGAACGCTACCGACAATAACTCATTAAATTAAAGTGAGCGTTTGCTAAAAAAGGCACGGAATTTGCGACTAGACACAAGGCAATAAATTTTCATCATGACAACGCTTGGCTTCATGTTGCAAGACCGATTAAAAACTATTTAGATTTGGATTTCAAATGCGCAATACTTTTATAAATACTGTTAACTAACTTACTCCATTTTTTCTTAAATAAGCATTCAAATTGAAAAAAAGGCACGAATATAGTTGTCGACTCAACATATTGTGCAATCAAGTTACTTTACCTGTTCATTGTTAATGGCCTTATATATTCAAACAAGTATAAATAACTAGTAGTAATGTAGACTGAGTGTGTGCCCACAGAATCGTGAGTTCGAATCCCATGCGATACAATATTCGATTTTTTTTCATATAGACAAGATAAATATGCAAATGTGTACTGAAGTCAGCTCCTTTTTTTAATTCAACGATCTTAAGTGTGAAAAAAAAACTCCAAAAATCAATTTAAGCGCTCCTTCACATACATTGGCTCGCTGCCGTGTATTTTCCATAGTTACCCACATTACTTAAATACTTGTAGTAATAGACAAGCAACCAGTGTCTAGACCAATTTATTTAATCTGCTGCTCTAACTTTGCAAGTTTCGTGCCATTCCCACCAACTATGCTTTATCAGCGTACACGGGATAATGTCACAATAAATTTAAATAAAATTTTCATGAGGGAGTCGCTGGGGCGTATACGCAACTTTGGCAGTTCTATCGCTATTGCCGGTTTGTGGCTCACTGCCTGCAGGGAATTGTTGTCAAAAACAAAAAGAGAAGGAAAATACAAAAACACTAAATAAATAAAAAAAAAGTCGAGAGCAAGTAGTAAGCGAGAGACGAACAAAGATAATCCGGCGAGAGCAGAAGCAATAAAAATAATGTAAATAAATGGAAATGGAAAAGAAGCGAATTTGTGTTCATCGCACTATTTTGCTTGAGCGCATTGAGGCGTTATAGCTGATATCTGGCATTAGCGTTGTTTGTAACGGTTCGGATTTTCATAATGCGAAGATTAAGCATTGTTACAGCCAGCGAAATGGCAGCTTTAATGCTGAAAAAATACAGAATATATAAACAACTGTGTGTTTGCGCCGAATGGTGGGCATTAAATGAAGTAAATAAGAGGTTTTGATTGTTTGCGCTTTTACATTAAATATATTCCATTTCTAATAATAGCACTTTCTTTCATAGTAAAATGATTGTGCAATCTTTGCGAGGCGATTGATTTTTATGGTTGTTGGTTCAAGTACAGCATTTAGCGCTGCCAATTTGAAAGTTTAGTTAAAATAATGTTTTACTGTTATCAAATTACATAGCTTAAATAAGGTGTTGCCAACTAAAATATTCGTTGACTATGCTAAAGAGACTGCTGATCACATTGGAATCAATTCCGCGAAAATTCACCTAAATTTTAGATATTCGAGAGAAATGAGATAAATAACGCAGCTCTTATTTAATGAAAAACAGTATTTTCCCGCCAACAACTAAATATGATTAAGATGTTAAAAATGGAATTCTTTTGTTTTTTTTGCCGCAAATTTTTGACCGTGATCTAGCTTATAATCCCACAATGGGTTTGCTCACTCCGGACAACTGTGATACCACAGCGCCTACCAATATTGATGACATGATTTTGACAGCTCGTGGCGGCCCTTTTTTGTTACGGATTTGTGTCAACCTGTGACAGTGTGTTTAGTATGGCACGTTTACTTTGGTATAATGCTTGGAAATTGTCTAAGAAATTACGCAAATTTACGTTCTCCGGAAAATCCTAAAATCTGAAAAATCATCTTCGCTGATTAGGCCCATTGGCTGGATTAATGACTTCGTCAACAAACAAAATTGTTGCTCCTCGTGCGGTTTAGACAACGCAATTGCGTCCCAAAAAATTTACCGTTTGGTGCGGATTATGGTATGGAGACATCATTGAGCAGTATTTCTTTCGAAATGTGGCAGGAAGTGCCATTAGCATAAATAGCGAGCGTTATAACACGATGTTTACCGACTTTTTTCCGGATATTGATGAAATCGACGCGGACTATTTTCAACAAGAGGGTACGCCACCTCAAGGTTCACGTCGCAATATGGACACATTACGTACAAAGTTTGGCGGCTCGTTAATTTCGTTAATGGCCCAGTCAAATGTCCGCCAAGATCATGCGATTAACTCTTTTTGACCAAATTTGTGTGTTTTATTTCATTTTATCATCACGTCGTTTTTATTGGTCTACACCAGGAGAATATGCGGCGAGGAAGGCGAAGTCTGATCTATCGACCCGAAAGGTGATCAATACTCGACTACGTGGCAAATGGCCACACAGTCATCGGGCTCTATTATGGCGAATTATTGGACCGATTCGGTATCGAATTGCCGAAAACATGGACTTAATTGGTAAAAAGAAGTGCTCTTCCACCATGATAAGCCACACCGACCTAAGCCTACACTACCGTCCACGAACTGCTTTCCGATCCACCGTATTCTACAGAGTTTGCCAAGCTCGACTAATTTTTCTTTTCAAACTTGAAAACTTTTGAGACGGGTTAAGGAAGTTGGAGTGTGTCTGGATCAAATGTATCGAGCTAAAATGAGTAAAAGCTGCGGCATAAACTGCCATTTCCGCAAAATTTTTTTGCTGGGCCTTCGTGCTATTGAAGTTTCCTAGATTGATAAGAATGGTGTCAAAATAACGCCTGCGGATTTGATTGAAACAAATACACGGAGTGATATGTAAATAAGTATTCTAACTCATCTTATTATTACTCCATAAAACGTACGCCACTTTTCTATGCACTTGACGAATTAACAACATATTGAAGACCTATCAGTGGATTGATAAAATATAAAGCTTCAGAACACACAGAGCGCTTTTCACTACACGTGTGGTGATAAAAATTATGTTAACAGAAACAGCTGATTTTTGTTTATTTTTTGCTGCCGAAGATTTTAAAGCAAGCTCTTATAGTTTTTTGGATATTATGTTCATCATTTTATCAACCAGACGATGAAACATTTCACGCGTTAAACAAAAATTTTATATAACCGTACTCCATGAAAACGGATCACTAACATCACGTTAAATTCTTAAGTTACCCGTTCGATCTTTATATTAGTAATTTTCTATTTTAATATGCTTTCGGCTATTTTTCTGAATTGTTATTAGGACGCTTAAATTTGCCGTAATGCTAGCCAGGCTGCCCCGTAGTTACCCACAAATACTATGCAAATGACATAAATTTATGTATATTCCTCTATACCTGTCTACAGTTGTCATCGTTAACCTTATGTCCGTTTGAGTGTTCGCAATAATTGTCCACAATGAGCTGATAATTTGTTGTATATAAATGTCCTCCGGGGTCGATGCTGTGTTGTAATGTATACGTCACTGCTATGCTTAGCAGCATTACCATTACTCCCACAAATACATGCACCCACATACAATACATAGTATTATTCTATGACTACAAAATTAAAATTTCGTTTCGCTCTACTGTCCGATGCTTCCGGTGCTGGCGGCGAGGATCTCTATGTGGACACCACTTTTAATTGGCGGTTTGTTGAGAACGTGTCGACATTTTGTGCTTGACTTATGCAAGTTTCAAGTGGGATTAAACCAATTAAGTAATTATTGCTTCATAAATATTAAATGAACTCAATTACAAAAACACAAACAACAATAGCAATATTTAAATAAACATTTGTAAGCAAATGTAATGCCGACAACAATTGTCTTCCGTATGTTTCCTTCCGTTGGACGTTGTCGAGTGTATTTGTTATGCAAATATTTGTGGAATTTCCGCCAGATTAGCAATTCATAAATGTAGATAAATTAAAAGTAAGTTGTGGATTAGTAAGTGGTTGGAATAAATGAAAGATTTGCGG